AAAAGAATAATGAAAAAAATAATTTGAATTACGTTTTAGAATCTTTCGCTTGCTAGCGTTAGAGGCGGTTTTAAAAATAAATTTGGGTTTTAACTACTATATTCTATTTATAAAGATATATAGAATGAAGGTACCTTTCCACTTACTCTATCCACTTTAATTAATTTTACCCATAATAGTATTATTATTTTTAATATTATATATAGTACTATTAAAGAATTTAAAAGGTACGGGAGTTTCGTCGAAATTAATAATAAAATTCTTAATTACTTATTTAAAAGAAGGGAAATTGATTAATAGAAAATTAAATAAGGAAGTAAAAAAGGTATAAAATACATACTTTATAGACAGTAAGCGGGGTATTATTTAATATACAGTTAAATTATTTAATTATAGGGAGGGTAATATTCTTTCGTATAAATTTGAAGAAATAAATTATACAACGAAGGTATTTTTTTAATAATTTAAATAATTAGCAGGTTATTTTTCGAATAATAACGTTATACTGCTTTATAAACCCTTTAAATTAACCGGTCGAAAACGTGAATTCCGTATAGGGTTATTTAGTAAATTAATAAAAGAAGTATTTGGATTTTAATTTGAATTAGCCAATACGTATAAAATTACCTATTGGTCGTTTTAAAACGAAAGTATTAAATAATAGCTTTTCTAATTATAAGAACTTAGGTCGGAAAGTATATTCTTTCCCGAAAATAATACTATTTTTTTTGATTTACTAATCCCCAATAGTAAATTTTAGGATATTAAACTAGTCGGCCGTAATCGAATACGTTGGCCGGATTATTCCTAGTAATAATACCCGTTTATTAAATTAAGCGGCATCGAAATTTAGAATATTTACCCAACGGCGGGGTTATTAATAAATACTATTATAAATAGGGGTATCGATAAAATAATATAAAAGGAAATCGAAGACTTTAATTTAGATTGCCCGCGACCGACGGTTATTATTCCTTTTAATTTTAAACGGGTAAATATATAACTAATTATTATAGTATTTATATAAGGCCTTAACCTTCTTATTAAAGCTTTATTATTTAATAACCCCTTTATGGAAAAGGCGAGGTTTAGTAGAAGTATTAATTATTATTAATAAAAAAGATATATTAGAAGAAAAAAACTTATTAGAAGAAAAAGAGGTAGATTAATTTCAATATAGTAGATTTGGGTAATACAAATAAAAACCGACAATAGGGATTTCTAATATTAAATATAAAACCTAAGTATTTAGTAGGATAAGTAGGGAAACTATATAATATAATACTATAATTAAAAGTAGTAATAATAATATAAGAGATTTAAAATGAAATTTAGTTTGGGATCGGTCGGGTTTTTAATAATAATAAACCCTACGATAGGAATTTTAATAGCAGTAAATTCGAATACGTCATTCGAATCGCTAGACTTTTGATGCTTGCTTCTTTGATGAAAGATTGTATCGCGATACGATAGGCTAGTATTATTTAATCAATTCTATTAATTCTAATAGTTTGAGGGTACGAATTAGAATTGAGAAAGGTAGTTATTTAAGGAAGGAGGAAGGAGGTAGGGTTAGTTGGGCAAAATTCTTTAAAATTATTGGCACAGGGTATACAGTCAGTAGGGGAATTTATAGGTAGCTAGTAGGGTTAAAAAGTGGGTTAAAATGGGCTTGCTGGCCCGGTTATACTATAATGGGTTTAACGGGGCAGGGGGGGATAAATCCGACGGGAGTGAGAAAAAGCGGTACTACGACACCACGGCGTAATCGTTTTCTCTGCCTTTCCCTGCGTGGGTGAAGAGAGAGTGAGATAGAGGTACGTCACTGAGACATTTCACCGTTACAAAATGTTCCACTCACGTACGCTCCAGTCAGGGGTTCACTCCCACGTTCTTTACAACCAATGCCCAGAAAGGGACAAGGCAAGACGAACGAAGCGAGTAAAGAACCGAAACGGCCAAATCGTTTCGGTCTCAGTCTCAACCGTCGAAACTCTGCTTCATTTCGTCAACATTCTCTCTTCGTCACCAGCCTACCCTCTCTGAGGGACAGGAAGGTTTTGGATAGGATGTGAATACCATCATCATAACTGTTGGCGGTGTAGCTTCTCGCCAATGGTGCACCCATCCGCACCTACTGTCCACATCCGTCAATACACCGCTCTCAAGACCGCTTCGAAAATGTGCAGAACTTTAATGCACAACTCACCGTCTTTGTGAATATCTTCACAAATTTCTGCGTTCACTGCTTCTTTCTCTGCGTCTGGTACCCGACGGCCGACGCTACCAGACTGCTACGCAAACCGCTTGTGCTGGCGACCGCAAGTCGTCAACACCAAGGATCGTGATATTCGTGATATCTCCAACATTTGGTACACAGCCTCACTAGGACAGTATTAGGCTCACCGTCGTTCTGGAGGTGCGTCTGCCAACCGCGTCTGGTTGCTATTTCTGGCGCGCCTGTAGATAGCGTAGTTCGTGATGCCCCGCATCTCCCATCCTTCCCGTCACCACCAAAAAGCCCGTCGAAGGTTTGAAGAGATCGAAAAGAGACAATCCCGCATCACTAGGGCGTATTTGGTTCAACCAATATAATTTCAATCTGTTTTTAACAGGGGTAAAGGGTACAAAACGCCATCTGCAGCAACCGATTGGGATTTTGTACCATTTATCTTTCTTTTCTTTTTATCTTTTATTATATAGTGGCGTCTGTACGTACTTGGTGGCGCTAGTAAGCGAAGCTATATGTTGGGGTGTAAATTATTATCGAGATCCTTTATAAAATGCTTCGTTTTTTATGCTACGAGACTGTAATTACTGTAACGAACTTAATTTTGAAGATATTTACAAATAGAGACATCTTTCTAGTAGCTAGGAAACTATTCTATAAGATTGTATAACGTTTACGTAATTCTTATATTGGGTAGTAGCGGTTATTAATTGTAAAGGTTTCAGGAGTAAAAAGGGGGATGTAAATAATAGTCTACTATAATAATAGTTGGAATCGAACAAATTGTAGAAATAGTACTTTTAAGCATATAAAAACTATTATTACTAATAATAATAGCGAATCGATATAAATCGAAGATTTTTAGTTAATTAAATACCTAGTTGAGTGTTTAGTCAAATAGAATAGAATCGAATCGGTTAGGAATAAATATAGGTATTAATTCTATAATTTTATTAATTAGAATCCTCTATTATTAGTACTCTTATTTCTTCCCTCTATTATTTATTACTTCATTTTGCTTATTATATTTACTATTCGTTTATAAATTGCTAGCCTCGTTAATAACGATATCGATAACGAGGTATTTGGTTTAAATGAATTCGTTTATAACGGCCGTTGCAATTATACAATTTATCCCGAGTTGAAAGAGTTTAGTTTTATATTACTTAGTTACCCTAATATTTAGAAATATAATATTACGGCCGTATAGTTAGCGCTTCCTCTATATTTTCTTTTTTTTATTTAATTTCCTTAATCTACCTCTTTAGTTAATTAGTTAGCACCCTAGCTTCGAACGTTGCGTATTAATTAATCCTAGTTAATTCTGATTATTCTATAGCGAATTAGTATTAGAATTGACCAGGTATTACCTATTCGCTTAGGCCGGTTACCTGGGTAACTAGGAATAAATTATTTTATAATTCTAGCGCTGTCTCCTTAATTAGAAATTATAACCTTTCGATTTCGATTTACGTTCATTAACTGCTTTATCTAAATTAGTCCCTCTTTTACTATTACTTTTACCGCCGTTATTTCTATTATTATTATTATTGAGGATAAGTATAATATTGAGCCCGCTTTATCTAATGATAAGTTTTTACCTTTTAAGGAAATTAGGTCCCCGAAGTGGTTTATTAGTTAAATGAAGCGGTTTGTTACTTTCTTAGTGAATATTTAAAAGGAGTAAGTGTTCGTTAAAGGTTTTAAGGGGAAGAAATTGACGGCGGTTTTCGATAAGGCGCTTATAATTATATATATTAAATATTTTAATTAAAGTTGGATTCGTTCGCAGGTATGTAAACGTTAGAATATATTGAAGATTAATTATTGGTTATAGTTAAATTTTATATATAAAACGAGGGTATTATTTAATAAAACGGTTAGTTTCTTTAATGTTTATAAAAATATCCAGGTATCCTTCCTAGTTAATAGATTTAAAGCGAACTAATGAAAGACGATTTTATTAGAGAATTATAAGGAAATAGTATTACTCTTTATTATTAATTAAGTAATAGGTAAATATATTATCGATATTTTTAACCGTTTTATATTTTATTTATTTGGTCTTATCACGCTATAACTATTTATAGTATACGGTACTGCTTCCTTTCTTAGTCTAGAGGGAAAACCGTATTACGGATGAAAACCTCCAGCTATCCTATTTCTAATCCTAACCCTAGCCCCCGCGCCTATACGCCGCCTTACCGCGTCGCGCCCGGAGGAAATTTTGATTATTTCGTCGTTTATTGTCTTGTCTTATCGTTATCTCTTTCGTCCCAGTTAATAGATTTTATCGCTTCTAATTAATCAATCCCTCAAGACCCCACCCCTCCTACCCGGCATTTTAGTACTACGTTTTTCGTTAAATAGTTTTTCATTTTATTTTTAAAGTATAAAAGTAGAGGGGAGGGGTCTTATTCGATAGATTTCTTCGCCGATTAGCCTCTATCGGCTACTTATATATACAAGTAGTCTTTTAGCCGAGATTAGTAAAATAACGTAATTAACTATTGCGTATTGTTGTACGGGTTCTAGATTTTAATGCCGAGCTAATACCGTAGCTCCGGAATAAGCTTTAGAGGTAGGGTTCCAATTCCAAGATCCTATTAGCTAGAGCGGAGAGAGGCCGTTTTTTCAAATAGGGATAAATTTTACACGTGCCTAGTTACGTATTGCTAGGGTTTTAGACTAGAGCGGGCCCTCTATATTTTTAACGCTTATTTAGGGAGGAAAGCGGAAAAGAAATTTTATCCGAAAAATTAAATAAAAGAGAGGGGAGCGGGATTCGAACCTACGACCTTTCGGATAAAACCGAAGGTGAACCAAGCTCAGATCTTCCCAACTGAGCTATCCCCCCAACCGTTTTATATTGTATATAAAAAATAAGAATCCTTTGGTTGTAATTAAGCGAGATACTTTATATATTAATTTTGCTAGCGGTAAATAGAAATGGCGTAGTAAATACCTTAAAGTTGATAACGTATTACTTAGTAATACTGATGAGGTAGAGGAGGATTTGAATAATGACGAGGAGAAGGAGGTTAAAGTCCGCTGGTTAATTAAGAAGAGAATAATTTGTGTTGCTAATATAGATTGGTTTGCTTTTTTTATTAGTATTAAATTTAAAGCCTTTTCTTAAGCATTCGAATCTTAGCTTACTTAATTAACGGCCGCTGGGTTATTATAATTATAGTTTTTTTTTAGTCCTACTTCTTTTAATTTTTCTTATACGTTTGTTGCTTTAACGATATTTCTATTAAAGAGGATACGCGGCGATAAAAAGTAGTAGTTAATTAGCGAATTAAAGAAAGACCTAATATATGCGGCGGTGTTCGCTAATATGTTTAAAGCGAGGATATTATTAGTAGAGTAATTATTTAATATAGTATTTAATTACGAGGACGCGCCGGTACTTATTTTTTAAAATTAGTTTTGGTTTTTGCTTCGTTAGGAAATATTGTAATCTTTTTATACTATTTAATAGTTTTCGTTAATCCGATTCTATTATTCGTATCCTTATATTCGTATATATTATAATTAGAAAATTATATTATGGATTATAATTATATTACTATAATATAAAGTTATTATTATTGGGAGATATCGGGGTTTGACTGTATTAAATACAAAATATTATAAAATTCGAAATTTTATTAAATTAAAATTTAGGCTCTAGTAGATAATACAATTAAGGTTCTAATAGCTAACAAATTTAAGTTTTAGCGGGTAGTAAAATTTAACAAAATTAGGGCTCTAGCGGGTAGTAAAATTGTAAATATAGGGTAAATATAGCGACATAATTCCGCGACTATAGAATATAAACTTTAACCCTATATAAAGAGTTGATATTATATATTAATTAATTTTTTAATTTAATTCTAAAATACGTATAACTAATATTTATCGATTTAGTTTAGTCTAACGAATGAAATAATGCTATTATATTAATTTTTAAATAAAAGATGAAAAAGTGGCTATAGTATAAATAAATTATCGCTACCATATTTGCCGTATTTATTTAGTTTATTTATGCTTTACCCGGCGGATGTTTTTTACTTACCGCTAGCGATAATCACCCTTTTATATTTTCTAGGCGAATATATCTTTAAACCCTACTATCCTTCCGTTTTATTCAATATTTATATTAATTGTAACTTTATTTTTATTATTATTATTATTATTAATACGAGCGCGACCGTTCTTATTACTAATTTTATTTCTTTTATTGTTGGTTTTAATTTCTAAATTATTAGGATTAATACGTTCAATCTAATTATAAAGTGCGGTAACGGCGAATATAATATTTATTTGGGTTTTAATATTGTACTTGGGCGCCGTCGACTTTATAATTTCTACTTTTTTTTTAATATATTGATTGCGATTTTAATTTTTATACGATATTTCGAATATTTTAAATTATATAGCTCTTTTTGAATCTTCGGTCGATTAGTACCCTCCCCTTATTCATTAAAATAATATTAGGTAGCCGGGTGTAGTATTAAAATCCTTCGCCGTATATAATATTCTACGTTACTAAAATAAAATTTACTATTTAGTATTTCGAAACTACTTATATTAAATATTAATTGTATAATTTTAAAATTATATATTGAACCTTTTATTTCCGGTAAAACGTACGTAAAAAGACTATTTAAACCGACGGTAATTATAATATTCTAATATATATAATCCTTTCGACCCCGCTACGTTTTAATTTCGGATTTATATACCTGTATATAAATTAAAGTACCGTCGACCGCGCTTAAATAATCTTTAAAATATAGTACCAACGCTGCGTCCTTTAAATTGTATATTGTATTAAAAGGGGGAAGTTTAACAATATAATAATATAAAATAATTATAATATTAAGGATTTTATAGAAGTTATAGTTAATAATTTCGGTATTATAATTAAATTAATAAACCGTATCTCATTATATTTTATTATAAATATATATATATAAAAAGGTTATAAACTTCTATTTAAAGGATATCTATTTTATGTTATATATAGTAGTATATTTTAATATTTAAGTAATTACCTAAATAAAAGGGTAGTACTGTATATTGTATAGATTAAATAGTTTAGTCTTGTAATTAGGGTAGAGGGTATTACGAATAACAGCTTTACTTTCGTCTTTATTAGTATGGACTGATCTATATACGGTTTCGTTACTCTTTCGAAGGTAGATAGTTTAGATAATAGCAGCGACGGTTAGAAGGATAGTTATTAGGAACGTAAAGATACGCTATCGAATAGGATTTATATTAGAGTATTTCGTTTTATTAAGTAGTTATAGTAAAAAATAAAATTCGAGAGGGGGTCCCGCGAAGTATTAATTTCCAACTTAATACCCTAATTAATTAATAAAATACTTTATTTTTATGCCCCAACCCATTAAGATAGAAATTAATAGAATGAATTCTTACTATACTGGATTAGGAAGTTAATAAGGCTTTATATAAGTATATATAAGCTATGTATAGGGGAGGTACAGCTAAGAGCCTGCTGTATTTAGTTTATAGAGGGGTTATAGGGGGGTTATAAAGGGTAAAGAGGGTCCGACGCTGGATCAATACTGATATTTGCAGTTTGTTGGCTGATAGGGATAATTTTCCTATACAAACTTTTGTTTTGTTGGTTGAACCAAACACGCCCCTAGCCTCCCCTTCTTAGCCTTCTCAGTGGTCATCCGTCTGACTGCCGTTTCGACGCCCAATAGCAATTGCCATTCTCAAAGGAGAAGCGCAAAATCTATTCGCTGTGTTCTAAAGCCCTCAAGCCTCTTCAAGCCCTTTTCAAGCCCTTTTTACACAGGGGCCGTGGAAAAGGCCTGGCAGGCCACGAGTATGGCTCGGCACAGACTGGCAGCGGCGTGCGTGGACGTGTGGTAACACCACGGTTGTACACGCACCAGACGGGGCATTTCAGCCACATCTTCGGACGTACCTGGTGAAGTCTCAACAAAAAATCCAAATCATCAGGGTCCTTTTGCGGCGGTCTGTCGCTTGCGATGTGGATGTCAGTCATCCATCCATTTACATCCCAGTCGTGATGCTTCCAAGAAAAGCCCGTCACACCTTCACACCACACACATTTTCTGTTTCTGTCAGTCAGGCAGTTCGTAAAAAGGTCGTCAATACGTCGTACAACCGTCCAGTGGACCAGTGCCGAAGCAGTCATCTTTGTTGCCCTTGCAGGTGGCAGGTCGTGGCAGGCAGAGTTGCACACCACACACAACCGGTCCAGAACACCACCTATCTGTACACAACCGGTCCAGAACACCGCCTATCTGTACACAACCGGTCCAGAACACCACCTATCTGTACACAACCCTCCATGTCCAGATGAAGCATGTAGCGATGAACGCCTCAGCACACAGATAAGCGATGTCCGCTAATCTCGATTGAGATCGTGCCAATGAGAACCAATCTATTTCCAGTTGCAGCCCGTCCAGAGAATCGGACGATTTCGCCATTCTCGGGGCGGGGGTTGGTTCGTACGGGTCTTGTCTTGGACTAGAGGGCAAAAGTTCTGTAAATGTGTGTACTATGGAGAGAAAGCTAGAGTCAAGAAGGAAAAGAAGTGTGGAGGGCTAAAATATAGGAAGGGTGTAAGGGTATGGACTTATACGATAAGGGAGGGGTGGGGATATGAACCTACCTAATAATACGCCCCCGTAGCCTGAAATAGCTCGCAGGGACTATTATAAGTAAATAAATAAAGAATTTATAGTATTAAATACCTTTATTATCTCAAGGAATTTTCTTGGCCTTTAAACCTAATATTAAAATAAACTTGCCGTACTTATCCGCCTTTAACAGCTTTATTAAACCGTCTATAATTATCTCCTCTCCTTTAATATAAATAATATTAATTCTTATACTTCGATATTCTTAATAATCTATTTGAATTGTATATTTATATAGCGGTTCCTTTCTAATACTTTATAGTTTAGTACCTCATCCCTATTATTTTTACTATCAGTATAAAGAACTTTTAAGGGCGGTTGAGTATATTCAAATTCTTTTAATATATGTGTGATCTATTATAATGATTTTGTAGTCCGTATTAAATTCGTGAATTCCGCCTTAGTTGTACTCGTTGTAATAAAGGTTTACTTCTTTAATTTCTAGAATATTAGGCCGCCAATTAGAAAAACTATATGGCCCCCGGTATTATACTTAGTCACCAGGTCATTTGTAAACGAAGCGTTTCCGAATACTTTTAAATCTATATCCCTTAGTAAGATTCTTCCACCTAGGATTATACCTATATCCGTAATCTTTATTAAATAGTAGAAAAGATACTTTGTAATTATTATTAATTTAGTCGTTGGTTTTGCGTTTACTTTATACAGTTTATTAATCATAAACGTAGTATTTAATTATATACTCATTAATAAGTAATTTAAATTTTTAATCTTTTTGATATATTTCTTCTATTATTCTAATAATTCATCCCTAGTTTTATAATTCTTAACTTTAATATTAAAAGGCTATAATATATTTATCCTATATAAATTATTGTAACCGAATTTTTTAATAATAGCCGCCGTATATTTAACGTAATTAACGAAGACTATCTTCTCTTCCCTATTCCTTAAAATATCGAAACCTAGGAAGGTTTTTACTTCCCCTATATATTTAAATTTAAAATAAGCTAAGAATTTATTTTCAATATCGAAAATAATAGATTTTAAAGGTACTACAATAAGGAAATTATTTACGTAGAATGCTAATAATATACTTAGCTTTATATTATTCAATAAATAAATATTATTATTAATTGGTTTAAAACTTAACCCTTTTAAAATAGGTAAGAGTATTTAAAATTAATAAAGGGGTACTCTCTTT